AGATAGATAGATAGATAGATAGATAGATAGATAGATAGATAGATAGATAGATAGATAGATAGATAGATAGATAGATAGATAGATAAGGGAGGGAGGAAGGGCCAGAGATCATGAGAATTACCTCCAGTGACCCCTAGCAAAAGATACTCTTATGGACAAAGGCCAGATTCACCTGGCCCAACTGGAGGGCGGTGACCGTGGCTGTACTTGTGTCCAGTTGGGCCACCGGGAGAAAAAGAAAGCCATTTGGCGCCTTCACTTCATCCTGCAGTTCCAGCTCGTAGTGCTCCAGAGGTAATTCGACCTCTGCAGGGGGAAAAAAGGGGGGGTTGGAGAACATTCTAGCAACATTGGCAGACGTGCTGTTTCCCCCACCCAACCACCCAAGCCAGTTGTGTTAGAAATCGGACCCAGTCCCAGCTTCAAAACTACTTCGTTCGGGTGGGATCTGCGTGAGATGTTTTCTAGGGCCATTGTGGACGTCAACTCCCAGAATTCCTCAGTGGAGGGACGCTGGCTGGGGAATTCTGGGAGTCGAAGTCCCACAGACCGTCAAAAGTCTCTAAAGTTGGAAATCGTGGCTCTATCAAACACTCCTGCTCAGCGTATTCCCCACAAACAGGGCTCCTAGGATGGGTTTTAACCATGGCTTAACAGACAAACCACGCCTGGCTAGAAGCTGCCTTAAGCTGGTGGAGTGAAGGCCGCCACGTTTTTTTTAATAGCATTTATTGAATTTTCTAACATTTAAAAGACAAAAGAGAAACCCCAAATTTACACTTGTAACAGCTTTTCCATATTATCCCTCTCCTTCGTAACAATCTTATTTACCAAAAATCCTACCTCCGTATCATTCTCCTAAGTTGTATGCTTATTTAAATACACTCTTGTGTATTTTACCGTGTGTACCTTAAGTTTTACGCTTACTCTCAAGCCAGGAATACTATCCACTCCAAATTTGATAGTTTCTTCCCTCTCTTTCATTTCCATAGACAGCCTATCCATCTCTGCGCATTCATAGATTTTCCTTCTTATAAATCGGGTCTGGGGGGGAGTATCTGTTTGTTTCCAATTCTGTGCTAAAACGATTCTGCTTGCGGTTAATGTGTGCAGTAATATGTATTGTCATTTCTTTTCTCTCCTTTTTCCCATCAAAGGTTCCCAGGAGGAACAATTCCGGCTTCAACTCTATATTCAGCTATCTCTTCGAATCACTTTCTTATCTTACGCCGATATTTTCTAAACTTGGGGCAGGTCCACCACGTGTGGTAGAACGTTCCCTGCTTATAAGAGCCAAGGTGGCGCAGTGGTTAAATGCAGCACTGCAGGCTACTGCTAGATCAGCAGGTCAGCGGTTCAAATCTCACCGGCTCAGG